CTTTTTTTTTTTTTTTTTTTTTTTTAATGTATTGTGGCTTCCAATTACCAAGTTGTCTAGGTAATAACAGTAAACTGACTGTGGAGGGATAGTTGTGTAGTGACCAGTAGATGTACAGTTTATGGCCACACAAAAGGTGGGGTCATTTAATCTCTCTGTAGCAGCTAGGCACAGAAAGAGTGAACACAGGAACAAGAAGGTGTTCTTGGAAAGGCACATGTCTAAGAGGGAAACAGAGTGATTTTAAATTCTAATGCAAAATTTAAATTTGTATCATTTGTACTGATAAGCACTTTTTGGGTCAGTGTAAAATGTACTAAAACCAACAAAATGCTAAGATGCCGGTCTTGTGAAGGAAGGTTTCTTGGAGACCACTTTTATTCTCATGACAAGTAGATTCTTCTAGTATCAGAAGAAATTGATTCATAGTGTCATGTGCTCAGTGGTTGCCAAAGTCTACCAACTTTAGGGAACTTCAGGGTTCTTGTGGGGGAGGGAAATGATTTTTATTTTAGTGTTTTCAGGCATTAGAACCAAAGGCCAAATAATAAGCAGCCTTTACTTTTTAAAGTAAAATTCATTTTATTTGCTGAATACACTTGTATGGTAGACTATTAATTTATATACATTATAGTGGTTACATCTGCTGTTTGTCTTTTAAATGAAAAAATAACCCCAACCTAGAAGATGTGGCCCAGATAAAGGCCATGGATTGGTCTTTCTAAAAATGCAACAGGAATGCTGCTAGATTATTTTATTTTGTTTGCACTTAATTTTGGGGGGATTGGCATTTTAAAATCAGTATTTAAACTGAAGAAATTATTGTGTTTTATTTAACGAAGTTGAAAGTGACTGCTCTGTACATCATGACCTTAACAATGTTGATGCTGTAAGTGAAAGTTCACTGTCATCTCTACGCTAAGTTCATTGGTGTTTTTAACTTAAAATTAGGACTGCAGATTATCCCCCACCAGCCTTAGTCCAGGATGTGGCTCTGTCCAGGTGCAGTATGCAGTCTTGTGGAACCTTGCATTCTAGTGCTGGGAAAAAAAAAAAAAAGATGTCTCTAATAACTGGCTTCAATAAACATGAATCCAGACTGCTTACAATTTTGGGTGACTTTGTTTTTTGATAAATCATCCCACTGAAGATCCATTGTCTGCTAATATGAGGTATCTGATCATGTAGTTTAAAATGTGTACTTTTATCCCTTGAAATTATCAGAAACTCTGATAAGGAAAAGCATTTTAAAGGCACACGTTGAAGGTTGAGAAAGTCAGAGCTGTGTGTAGAGTGCAGCAGGGCCTGGGAGTGGTCCAGCATGTTTTCTTCCCTCTTGAATAAATGTTTCATTATTTGAAATGAGCTAAGTGATTTTCCCTTTGCTTATTGAGGAGTCAGAAATTTTAGAGCAGCTACTGTGTACCTTAACGCTTTTCATTTGCTTAAAATGGGGCACAGTAAAATCGGTTCAAGAAAAATTGAAGATCACATTTCTTACTATTGCACTCAAATTTTCTCAAGCTTTTATTATGAAAAATTGCAAAGCTGTAGAAAACTTGAAAAGAATGTATTGAGCACCCATATCCCACAAAGATTCTCTTAGTTAAGATGGTGTCCTTTGGCTCTCTCAAGCAATCTCGGGTGATTTGGGGTTATTTCATTTGATGGTACTACAGTAATGTTATAGCAAATAGGTAATAGAAAATAGTTATATTTGAGGTTGTTATATACCAGTCACTCTTCTTGGTGTTTCATGCAAATTGATTTATATTCACAACTACTCTCTGAGGCAAGCACTGCTTTCTTCATCTTAGTTTCCACAGAAGCACACTAAGATAGGTACAGTCTAAGTAGCTTATACTAAGGTCAGGGTTTGGTCTTCAGCCCAGCTGTCTAGCTGAGATTGGGCTCATTGCTGTACTCTGCTGGCTCTTGTGTTGTTTACACAGAGCAGATGGCAAGGGCAGTAATTGAAAGTATTTTTTTAATCTGTGGTTCTCCACACCTGTGTGCTTCTGTTCCACTTGCTATCATGGATTCAGGCACCACTTTTGTTAGATGGATAAAAATAGCAGATAGAGAATGTATCCAGTGCACCTATGCAAAGGGGAAGGGGGCTGCAATCATTGTCTTGCTGGGAAAGGCAGGTTGAAATGCCTGCCGCTCTATATAGAAAAGACTTATTAGATACAAAGAGCTTTAGGGCTCATCTGTGTCAGCAGCCCACATCAGGCCTGAGATAGTTATTTACCAGTGCAAATGCAGAGTGTACATGTGAGGCTTCTGCTGTCTCACCCCCGAAGGGCCCCTCACACCATTTACCTACTGTGGATTCCCTGTCCTGGGAGGGTTCTAATCCTACATCACCTCATTACTTTCAAGTTAAGCATGCACAATTTAGACAAATTGAGCAAGAAATACCAAGGGGCCAGGGATTTAGCGCAAGCGCAGGGACCTGAGTTCAATCCCTGGTAACCACCCCCCCCATCAAGAAATAACACAACCGAAATTGGGAAACTTAACCCCTCTTGGCCTTCCTATCCCTATCTTTATAAAATGGGGGTCAAATTTCTTTCTAGACATGAACATCAAAGGGTACATGGTAGGTGTTTGAAATAATTGTTGATCCTAAACACAGTCCCTGATTCACACTGATTGTCATTTAAATATCATCTCAAGAATAGCATTAGAGGGATGGCTATGCAGTGACCATTTACTATGAGTCCTGGTATAGTTCCCTACAGGATGCCACAGCTGAGCTCTGGATTCTGCAAGCAGGACATGGTATTTAGTATTCCATTCCTTATCCTGCAAGCCTGTAGACACCTAGATGGATGCAAAGTGTTGTCTTGATGCTCTCTGAGAGTGCCTGATGAGGCATGGGTGGTATATTCTGATGGGGACAGATGGCAGGCCAGCATCAGTGGGGTTGAACAAAGGAAGACCTAAAACCACCAAGGTGCACCCTGCTGGCTTGCAGGAGCAGAGCCCTCAGTATCTCCCCATGCACTGATGTTGATGAGGCAATCTTGGCCTAAAGAAAGAAAAGGCAGAAGCTTGTGCTGAGACAGTGGTTTGCAATGCCAGGAATGGTTGGGGGTGGAATTCACAGCAGAGGGCACTAGGGCTATATGTAGGACAGGAAGTCCTTTCCCTACTCCTAGGTGGCTTGCAGACAGGAAGCACCTGATCTTCCAAGTGTTTCTCTAACTTTTGTTGAAAATTCATATGGAGCCCCTGTGCTTGTAATTCCAGCTGCTTGGGAGGCTGAATCAGGAGGACCACAAGTTTGAGGCAAATGTAGTAAAAAAAGACCCTGACACAAAATAAAAAGGAAAAGGCTGGCAATGTAGCTTAGCGGTAGAGTGCTTTTCTAGTGTGCCCATGTCCCTAGGCTTGATCCTTAGTGCTGAAAAAATTTTTAAAGGAAATTCCTATGTGAATAGAGCTACAGTTTTTTGCAGAACTGTTAACATTTATCTTTGCATTCCATCTTCATTGTTTTCATCACCTAACTCAAGATAAATGGCAACAACAGTGAGATATTTTCATGTGTAGTGGTATTTTTCTGTGACATTTAATGGAACCTGTTTTTGCAAAGTTCTGAATTAACATTCCTAAGTGATCAACAGTCCATCTTTCCCACTGGCCTTGCCCAAACCCACTAACCCCATCAGTGTCTAAAATTCTACTAGAAAAGGCCAACACAATGTGAAGAATTTAAATGTTTGTTTTGGGAAAATTTGAACGGTATGAAACTATGTTCCCTTTTCAGACTACATTTTATAATTTAAAGAGTTCGAGTGCCTTGGTATCTCAGTAGCCTGTGTCATGTTACATCTGTATATGTATTTAGAGTATTTAGCACTATTTTACAGTGCATCCATTTCTAACCTACTCAGACATGTAACATGCTAGCCTGGAATTAAACTTGGATTACATAGGAAACAATTTTTTAAAAAACACTTGTTTAAATTTTGTTTACAGAAAATGTATGCATGATGAGAAGGGACTTCAAAGGTTCTAGTTCACGGCAAGTGGTTTTGTACCTTTCGGGGAATGCATGGTCTCCAGCAGGCAGAGAGAAGGGAACAAACCACAAATCTCTTTTTGAAATTGTTCTTTTGCAGGCCCTGCCCTAACAGGCTGCCTTGCTTTTGACAGTCCTTTGCCCATTTCTTTTTTTCTTTTTTTTTTTTTTTTTTTTTGGTTTTTTGAGACAGGGTCTCACTATGTAGTCGAGACTGACCTGGAACTCACTATGTAGCCCAGGCTGGTCTCCAACTCACAGCAATCCTCCTGCCTCAGCCTCCCAAGAGTGCTGGGATTACAGGCGTGTGCCACCACATCCAGCCTTTGCCCATTTCTAAAAGCCTAATTCTAGAATGTCCCAAAGTGGACTGGAAGATACTGTCTAGTTAGGTGATCAAGCAGGTTTAGAAGACTCAAAGTTAAACAATAAACAGATTTTTGTTTTGATTTGTTTTGTTGGGTTTTTTGTTGTTGTTGTTTTTGTTTG